TGGTCCAATTAACATTAAGTAAATCTTAACCCAATAACATAGCCCACTGCCCAGATAGCCCAATTTCAATATACCTTACACGTTAAATTAAAACTTAGGTTTACAGTCTCCAAACTACACTTCTCCTCCTCTCAAATTCGTCGCCGCCCCTCACCAATTCCGGGTATGGTATAGTTTCATGTTTCTTGAGTGCTGGTATTGTGCCTTAAGTTTGGTAAATAATTTTGTGTATCGAATTCTTATTTTCAGGAACTCGGTGCAATTGTCCCTGCTTACGAAAAACAGACCATTGTAAAATCGAAATCGTGCAGGATCAAGCGATTTAATTGACACTATTATTTATGCGATTGACGAAAATGTACTTTTTTTTGTTCAAATCTCCAGTTAAAATCATTCTTGATTAGGTAGTATGATTATATTATTACTCTAATTACATTTCTTATTTACTATATAGGAATCAACTCTGAGCCTTGACTTTTGACAATGCTATTAAGAGTTGTGGGGAAGAATGAAAATTGACATATGCCAGTAAGAGTCTTGACCTATGTTGATATATATTGTTTGTTAAATTCGAATTTTGCATTTGGAAGTTGGGATATTGTTTGCATTTTCCTTTGAAATATTGTTTGCTAAATTTGCTTAGTATTGTTTTTTATTTGATGTTTCTTTATAATTTTTTTTTTTTGACGTTGACATTTGAAGTTTTTTAAAAATAATTTCTTTTCGTGGTTATTAACCGAACCGAATCGAAATACGAATCGAATTGACTTACGTGGTTATGGTATGACCAAAAATTTGATGGTGCGATTATGATTTTGAGCGAAATAATCCCGAATAGAACCGTTGCCATCCCTACATTTGATATTCAATTGTAACAAAACTTCGATGAGTAATTCAAAATGAAATAAATAGACGATTCAAGAACGAATTGGAGTTGGAAAAAATTTAGGTGGCGAAGTAGGGTGTTTTTTTTTTCCTCCTCTTTTTTCTTATTTCCTTTTCATTTATTCTTTTCTTAAAATTATATTAAAATGATTGTAGAAATTAGAGATGATGACCAAATTGTATTTTCAGAAAGTCAACATTTGAATGCGGGAATTTTTGTTCTCCTCTTTTGCATTTCTCTGTGTTCTTCTTCATATCTGTACATATATATCACAAATCTTGTAAATTCATAAAAGTTAAAAGCAATGTGTTAAAAAAATGCTAAGAGCTAAATGTTAAATCCTGAATAATATGAGGGACCAAAGTGCAATATTTTCAATATCATATCGTAAATGAGAAGCTTCCTTTCAGTCTCAAAGGGCCCTCGAGAGAAAACACAGAGTCTCACGCGCAAAAAATAGGAAAATCTACCAAAGAATGAAATCATTGACTCTAATTCATGGGATTCAAGTCACCAGTCAGCGTACTTCTTAAGGCAAAAGGTTCTGAATAAAAAATTATGATTCCCCGATTGTTCCTTTCCAATTTTAAAGCGTTTTTATCTATTCCCAAAGATGCATTAATTGAGCTACCTTTCGGATTAGAGTTTGCTTTTTCTGGTCTTTAAATCTTGTTCTAATCTTTTTTATGCAGCGTAGTTTCAGTTTTCACAGAAGTTGAAAGAGCTAAAAAATGTCAAGTTCTGTGAATGAAGATCAAGAACAGAGGTAAAGATTCTTTTTTTTTTTCCTTTTTAATTATAATTTCTTTTAATAGTATTGGAATTTAATTTTTGGAGTTTTTCCTCTGTGGGTTATGGTCCGTGAGTGCTTTAAATGTGTTATGTGAAAAAAAAAAAGGGAAAAGAAAAGAAAGAAATATCAGTTATGTTTGCAGAGATAAAGATCTTTCTTTGTGCCTTTTATCCGATGGTTTCATTAATCAGTATTGAAATTTTAATTTTTGGGTTCTCCTTGCGGATTTTGGATCTATGAGTGCTTTTAATTATATTCTGTGCAAAAAGAAGAAGAAAACCTTTTATTCTTTTCATTTTAATGTATAAAGGAACTTAGTTGTAACCTGTAGATCACAGTTTTCGAGTTTCATGTTCTTTTTGAAAAATTGAAATCCTTAGATTTGTTTGAACTTGTGTATAATTAAACTTAGAGCCTTTACCGACTCATAGTAGAAGCCTTGTTGCTTGGAGTTTAGTTTTGATTGATGATTAATGATTATATACTTCAAATCTTGGGAATTTTATTATGCTACAGTTGCTGTAATATATTGTCTGAATGTGATTGCAATGCGTAACCGAGATTTAATAATTATTCTGCAGAAATTTGATTGTGCTAAATCCACATAAAGAGACGCACCCCATAAAACAATTGAAAAAAAGATAAAATATCTACATCACTAATTCTAGATGCCTAGTTGCCTACTACCGACGACAAATCACTGCTTCCATTTACCGTTCCAATTTGTTTGTGTATTCTGTATTGAAAAATCATACTATTATGTAGTCTGCTGGAGGCTTAGCGTTTCCATTTATTAGTGTTGTTCAGTATAGATAAGTTTTGAAAACTTTACTTTAATGGCTCAAGCTTTTAAATAAGATGATTAAAATGTATTAGAGTCTAGCAAAGGACTAGGGTTCAAGTCTCATTGCCACTTGTTTATAAAAATTGTGCAGGTGCAAGGCTTTATGATTTCGGCCTGCACATGAAGCAGTCATGTTGATATCTTTATTTAAATAAATAAATTTGTCCAATCTTTAACAGTTTATGCATTTAGATGAGATGATTAACATACATAATTTTGTTTCTGGGCAATGATATAGCAATTTTCCGTATTCAAACTACTTGAGAATTTCGAAGAGGAAGTGTAGGCTTCAACTAACAGAAACCTTGGTGTTTGTATGGCATATTATAATTTCAGTTTAACTGTTGGAATTTCTTTGCATTTCATCCATCCAGAGCAAGGGAAATAGAATTGACATCCATTGTAGTATAACTATGTTACTTTCTGCTCACTGGAAAAGTGGCAGATATATTATATTTGTCATCTTTCAGCTAGTTGATGTTATTTTCATAGTTATTAATATTCTGATACTGAAGCACTACTGTATCAGGAAAAATGCTAGCATGGAAGACCCAAATGCAATGACAATTGAGTTTCTTCGGGCAAGATTGTTATCTGAGAGATCTGTCTCAAAAACAGCCAGACAGAGAGCTGATGAACTGGCCAAGAGGGTAAGTTTCAGTTTTTGATCTACTCCCCTTCGTCTCACACATGGGTGGACCCACATGGTGTCATGTGGGGTCAATTGACCCCACAAAAAATTTTCTGGTTTTTTTTGTTCTTCTTCTGTGTTTTCCCTTTCTCTTGTTATAACTGACCCTACAATAGGAAATTGATATTGTTATAACTAACATTTAAAATGAAGGCATGCCAAAGTTTATATTTGTTGCCTTCTCTTTTTCCTTTTCAACTTCTTCTTCCTCTCTGTTCTTTTTTTTTTAAAAGCTTTATTTTGGCTTTCTCTATGTTGTTTTTCGTTTGTTTCCTCTCTCTCTACATTCTCTTATTGTAAGTCTATCTTAATTAAAAAAGACTTGTTCACTTAGTTTCACTTTCTTTTTTTCTTTTTCTTTTTTTCCCTTTTTTAGTTGTCACTAATTGGCAAATGTTTACTATATCTTATTTTAATTTAATTTTATTTGACTAGTTTGACTAGAGTATTACAATAAAATATTCTCCACACTGTCGTTTTTGGTATTTTTATGCTCGAAAAACAAGTGAACATGATAAAAAAGAGAATAAAATATTGATTTTGTTACTTAATTTTTAGGTAGCACGTATTGAGCTCGACTATAGAGTTTGGATCCTAGATAAATACATGTAATTCGATAAACTTAAAAAGTTGTAACGAAATCAAGTGGTAGGGAAATGACAGTTTCGTTATGTATCTTGAAAATATGTACTAAATGAAATTTATAATGAAGATATTATATGACCTATTAAAAGTATGAAAACCAATGAGGAACATTTGTAGATATGAGATTTAATATTACATTTTTGTCTTATTTGGCAAAAAAAAATTCTTCATTAAATTTTGACCCCGCCACTGAGACTGAATCCTCCGCACCTGGTCTCACATTGTTTATTATGTAATATGTATCGATTTTTTTGGTCGTTTGGACCATGTTTTCAATTAACGTTGATCACAATTAACTTAGATTAGGAAGTAACACGTGGATAATTGTAAACCACTAACAAAATTTCAAGCTTCATTTCCTGAAGGCTGAAACTAAGTAAATTATGATTAGTTTACTTAAAGTATTGGTTAAATTGAGTGAACCTGTGATAAACAATGTGAGATGAAGGGTGTATATGTTAGTGGGAAGACATGTACTTGCCTCTTTTCGACCTCCCCTGTTCATAAAGGGGTTCATAAATCTTAGTTCAGCTGGTTTACGTGTTCTCAAATCATAAAATTTGTTTTTCCCCTAAAAACTGTGTATATATATGCAGGTAGAAGAACTTGAAGAGCAGCTACAGTTTGTGACTCTGCAAAGAAAGAAAGCCGAGATTGCGACTGCAGATGTTCTTGCAATTTTAGAGGATCATGGGATAAGTGATGTGTCTGAGGGATTTGATTCAAGCTCTGATCACGAAGAAACTCTCAATGGATCTAATTCTCATAATGATACGGCAATGGGAAACGAAGCTTCCACCAACATAAAAGTAAGAAGAAATGATACGGAGGCATATTCTAGTTCTGAAATTGACTCCTCTCCATTGACTGGTAGGAGCCTGTCCTGGAAAAGTGGTAAAGATTTGCAGTATTCTTTCCAAAGGAAGAAACACAAGGACTTGGCCAGGAGACGTGCTAGTTTCACGTCAACTGGTTATTCTTCAATGAGGTGGGTTGGTAAGTCATGCCGCAGGATAAGGCACGGGGAGACTAGGTAATCTTCTTTCTTTGAATTTTGATACTTACCCACACTATTATTCATTTTGGGAGCTATTAAATGTAATGATCTAATATTTAATCTTATCATGGCATTAACCTCATGTGATGACATCTGCACGGGACACTTCTAAGAAACTCTGTCATCTGGAACGTGACTTAAGAGATTTGTTATTCAGTTTGCTTTCTGTTAATGAAAACGCATTCAATAACAGCATGCTTGGCTAAGCTCACCTCTTTTGTGTTTTTGGTTTTCCTTACCCGAGCCTAGGTGGGGGCCTTGGTGGACCGTTCACGTAGATTAAATATAATAATTAGGTTTACTTTTTTCTTTTAAAAAAAGTTTGACCAAAAATGCTTTATGACTAAACTTGAAGAAAACCTCTCAAAAGTTATAACTGTTTGAAGGTAAAAGAAAAATAAAATTATACATTGTTTTCCTTTTTCTTTTTCTTTCTGCAGGTTCTTCTCCATTCTGTTGCTCTTTCTAGTCTTCGGATGCATTTATAGCCATCTCATTGCATTTAAACCAAGACAATCAATTAACTGTATTTGTGAACCGCATAGCCTGATTTTTAAATGCATTTGGAATGAAATCATTATTTTATTGATACCAGATCAGCAATAGAGGAGTTGCAGAATGATGTCCATGTCAAAGCGACCTACAGCTCTGACATTGAACCTGATACATCGAGGAAAAGCCGTGAACATGATAAAGAGAAGAACCAACTGAAAAATCCACCACTAATGTCGGAAAATCACAGGCAAGAAACTAATGGCCATTATTTTGGCAGACACGGGAGAGATAACGACATGGAAAGAGCATTACAACATCAAGCACAACTCATAGGGCAATATGAAGAAGAGGAGAAGGCCCAAAGAGAATGGGAGGAGAAGTTCAGAGATAATAACAGTTACACACCGGTAACGTTTTATCAGTTTCAAACTTTACACGGTAATTGCATTCTAATGTTTGGTTGATAAAAAGATTGAATTCTATTTGCTGTCCCAAAGACTTTTTATTTGGTGAATTACAATTTACAGCACAAGTTTTTCAGATATCTTTTGTTTAATTTATGCAAGAATTTTAACATCTCGCCAATTATTGGACACTTTCCTCGTCCTTTATTTTCTTCGTTTTAGTAACCATCTTCAACGTGCTTTTATCGATTTCTAATAAACAATGATGCACTTCACCTATTATCTCAAGTGTTTATTGTCCAGATTAAAATAATAGACCGAGATGCCTATACACCGAGTTCTACATTCCATCGACGACTGATCTCTTTGTATATTCAGTTCCATTGATGCACAAGAACCACACAACTTCCATAGTATCACCTTCAGAGTTTAGCTGTGGTTCAACTCTATCACACTTCCATAGAGTCTTTTCTGTTTGAAGAGGAAAAAACACACTTATTTCTTTCCATCTTTAACATAGTCACTTGTTGATTCCCTTTTCACCACCGCTGCTCATTCCCAATTCTTCCGACCGTTAAACCTCACAATAAGACTGTTCTTTTTCTTCATCAAAAATGGGAATTAATATTTCATTTTGATAGCGTGCATAATTCATGTGTCCATTGATGAAGCAGTATCATTCTCAAGTTTTCCTACAAGATATGGCTGAGTATTTTGCTTCTAACAAATCTTATCCTTGTGGTGATATGTAAAACACCTTACATTAGTTTCAGGTATTTTCTCCTAACCAAGAGATTCATACTGGGACCTTGCATCTAAATGGTATAGCAGGCGCTGCATATATATACTATGAGATGGATAAGTGGAAAACTTACAGCAGAGCAAAGTATTGCCTTTAATGATTTTTGAGAAAGGCACAGCATTTAGCCCACCCTTTACTTGTCTGGGGAAAGAACCCAATCATGCATGAGAGATTATTAGATGATGCTATATGTTGTCTCCAATAAATGTACGAGATATTAAACTTATAAGCAGAAGCTCGATGCTAATATTTTTGTGTTAATGAAATTCTAAACTCATGCATTTGTGAGGCTTTTGGAGACAGTTACTCTGTTCGTGTATTTTTTCTATGTCATGTTCATTTTAATGTAGTTAGCTGACCACAAATTTTTATTTTAGCACATTTTTCAATGTTTTACACCCCGTTCTCCAAAAGTTTCTGATCCATTTTGACTTATTATTCTACCAGGATTCGTATGAACTGGGGAACCATTCAGATGTGACTGAAGAGCAAGGTGAGATTAAAGCGCCTGAACTGCCTTACACAGCAGGAGCGACAAGTTCAGGTAACCACTGTTCAGAAGTGACTGAAGAGCAAGGTGAGATTAAAGCACCTGAACCGCCTTACACAGCAGGAGCAACAAGTTCAGGTAGCCACAATTCATATGTGACTGAAGAGCAAGATGAAGCACCCGAACCACCTTATGCAGCAGGAGCAACAAGTTCAGGTAACCACCATTCAGATGTGACTGAAGAGCAAGATGAGGTTAAAGCACCTGTATTGCATCGTACAGCAGGAGCAACAAGTTCAGGTAACCGCCATTCAGATGTGACTGAAGAGCAAGATGAGATTAAAGCTCCTGAACCGCCTTTTACAGCAGGAGCAACAAGTTTGGTTAACCAAGAAATGAAGACACAGCCGGTGGAGGCTTGCTTCAATGAAGAACCCCAAACATTCAGGAGTTTGCCGTCTATTCCAGATGCTAACAACAGTAACTTACCAGATCAAAGATGCAGTGGCATGATTACTTTTGAATCTTCAGCACCAAAATTTTCACAGCCTATGTCTATAGGGAGCAGTGATCAACAGTTTTCAGGAAAACATCTTGATCTACCTTTGCATAGTTCTCTTCAATGTTTGCCCAGCTGCACTTCAAGTTACCCTTCAGCAAAGATCTCTTTATCTGATGCAGGAAACAGTATACCAATGTATGCTTCTTCAGGAAGCACTGCGTCTCGTGATCTTGCTGCTATTCCTCAAGAAACTTTTGATTCTGTCCTTGAGAAACTTAAGCAAGCTAAAATGTCACTGAAACAAAAACTCAATAGCTTGCCGCTGGTACCTGGAGGTACTTCCGGCAGTGTTATCAAATCATCTAATCCTGAAACAAACAATGTAGACAAGTTCAAAATTCCTGTTGCTTATCCTGGTCTTTTTAGGTTGCCAACTGATAACGAGTTTGAAGCGATTAACAGAGGCAACCGGCCTAGCATTGGTACACAATTAGGTTTCACAAACATTTCTTCAGACGGTGCTGGTGAAAGGTTTTTTTCAAATCCTTTTGTTGAGTCTAGAAATGCTTTTGTTGGTGACCAGTATCTCAGCGTTCCCTCGAGCCCTTTTACTGAAATCAGGCCGGGAGTTTCTATGCAGGGGCCTCTGTCTCAGCCTAGATTGGCTGCAGGTCCACCCTCTTCTGATGGATTGAACTATGGCAGTCCTCACACGAATATGGTTCTTCCTTCTTCGAGCAATGATTTTTACCCTTTCCTTCCAGACTTCACGCTGAGATTACCTTCGGGTGAAGGAATTTCGAGAACCTTTCCAAGTTCAGAATTAGGTGTACCTCCAGTCACTCGCTTCTCTTTGTATGATGATTTTTATCGGCCTAATGTGTATAGATAGCCGTCATACCTAAGCAACTCTGTTAATCTGTTTACACTACCTGGTATTTTGATCGTAGTGGATTTTTTGTTCGTTTGAATCTTGTTTTATATCCCATTCATTTTGTTGTAAGTTGAATCTTGTTGGGGGATACGAGCAGTGGTGGAATATGAATATGTGATCATGAACCTCTTACATTCTGATAGTCTACATTCTACTTGAATGCCTCGGCCTTTCTGATTAACTATACTTCACTATTGTCCGTTCTGCCTTGCTCGTAGTGATTCGGCAAGTTGCCTCTTGGCGGCATGCCGGTGCCGCCTTAAAAGTGAGCAAGCTAGAGTAGTTCAATCTGCTTTACACTTGGCCCAATTTGATGTCACATTTTGCTTGAAAAATGTCATATTCAATGAAAACGAATTTCACTTTGACCGTTTGATTGCAACTTGGAAATGAAAATTGAATTTCAAGGTACGATCACTTTAAGTTACATTTTCTTTGTCTTCATTGAAAACGAATTCTTATGAGTTTAGTGAGTTTTTATTTTACAACTAACATAAAATTGGAATTCATTTACACTTTTGCCTAACAAACGGACCCTTACTGTTAATTAATATGGTCTTTCATATGTTTACTTGTTGAAATATTTTAGCTAAAAGTCTAGACTGCATGGTCGTATGCATTAATCTTTATATCTGGTCCCCATTACAATAGAACTCAAATAACATAATTTTACAAGTTAATTTAAGCCCTTGTTTGGCTCCCATTATAATGAAATTTTTGGAGATAATATATTTCGAAATAATAATTTTTTGGAGAATGTGTGATTAAAAAAGAAGAATTTTTTTTATTTACGTGTAATATTATTTTATTGGAGAAAACGTAATTGAAAGAAAGAGAAAAATGTATTAAAATTTTAATGGAGCCAAATAGAAGATAATTTTTTTTTTTAATCATACGCTCTCTAAAAAAAATAAAATTAAAAAAACTCATTTTTTGAAAAAATAGGGCGGAGGATTATATATATATATAATTAAAAATAAAACGTTAAAATCGTCTATTGTACGGTCTGATGAAATCAACGAGGATCGAGCACGCTTTATATATTTTAGATACCAAACAAATCCCCAACCCTAGAAATTCATCCTCAAAACGCTATTTTTTATCCCACTTATTCTTCAAAATTCGAAGACCTAAAAAATCTGACACAAAACGAAAGCATATAAACTGAATTTGTGTTCATGGATTTTCTCACTGCTATTTCGAAGGCTCGTATTTTTTTAATTCTTCACACTTTTCTGGTTTCCTAACTTTGTGTTAAAGAAATATTTCCTGCTATATATATGTATATATAATTTCAAGTCCCAATTAGTGTTTATATCATTCAAATTTGCTTAGTTTAAAATAAATAAGAACCTGTAGAGAGAGAGAGAGAGTCTAAAGCTATTGTTTTAAATTTTGGTAACTTGGGTTTATTGTTATTGTAAATGTTGTTTTATCTTTTCTTCTTCGGAGTTATTGAGGAAAAGTAGAGGGGAAAAAAGAGAGGAAAAGATGCAATCTAGCAAGTATGACGAAATTGAATCTTACCGGAGGTTAAGGGACAACAAAGGAGTTGAATTGAGTCCAGAATCTCATTTGATGCCTCCACGTCATGATATTTATGATGGGTCCTTGATGAGGCCTCTGAACCTTGGTATTGGATCCTCACGTGGGGACCGGAGGAGTGGTTCAATGGAAAGGAGAGACTATGGATGGGGAAGAAATGAAATTGGAAGGTCGAGATCACCCCGGTTTGGGCAAGTACACAAAAGAATTAACTGTGGCCTATCATCAAGTAGGGATGAAATGAGGAGGAAGTATGAGTTTTGCGATTACATGGATAGGTTAGACAACGTGGACACTAGTTTGAAGTGCAATTACAGTGATAAGAGTAGGTTCAGTGGTAATACAGGGAAGGACATTGCCAGGGACAGAGCCTTGGGAGCTGATTTGAAGCATGATTACAGTGGAAACAAGTCTATGGTTCAAGAAGATGGGACTGGTCAAGGAAGACACAGGTTGTCTGGGGATGTGAGACCCTCAAATTATCATGAACATAGTGAGAATTTCGGACCTTCGATGAACGCGGATTTAGGTAGATTTAAGGATGGAGGAGTCAAGTATCCTGACTCAGTTTTGTTGGATAAAATATCAGCTATAGAAAGATATGAAAAATTATCTTCAAGGGACGTATCTCACTTTAAAGATTTGACATTTCCTTCTAAAGGCTTTAGTGACAGGTCTCAGTTCAAGGAATTTGGAAGCATGTCTGCAGGTCTGAGTGGCAACTTTCTGGATTCCCACAAAGAAGGTATGTCTGTTTCTACAGATATGTACCGAGGGAGCTCTACAAAGGCCTTGGAACCATTTTCCTTAAATGAATATGGCCATAGGCGGAGTTCAGAAACTCGTAGAGCTCCTGAACCAGGTCATAAGGACCTGATGGGTTATCAGTGGGATACATTTCGTCCCAACAAGGAAGATGAGGATGATTTATATGCTAAACCAAGGCAAAGGGAGGACAAGTTTTGTGATTATGCGTCTGAGGAACTAAACACAAGGAGGCTTTTATATGAGCGAGATTCTTATGACCCAAGAGATATGCTAACACAAAAGGAATCAATCCGGCAACATATTGATGATCATGAGCATTCTCCAAGAAATGTTGACAGAAGTTTGCAGGACCTCTCTTCTTACCAGAGTCACTTCGCTTCAGAATCCCTCGACGATAGCAGATTGCCTTGTACATCAGAACACGGTGGAAGGTATCTAGAAACTCGAAGAGCTCCTGAACCAGGTCATAAGGACCTGATGGGTTATCAGTGGGATACATTTTGTCCCAACAAGGAAGATGAGGATGATTTATATGCTAAACCAAGGCAAAGGGAGGACAAGTTTTGTGATTATGCGTCTGAGGAACTAAACACAAGGAGGCTTTTATATGAGCGAGATTCTTATGACCCAAGAGATATGCTAACACAAAAGGAATCAATCCGGCAACATATTGATGATCATGAGCATTCTCCAAGAAATGTTGACAGAAGTTTGCAGGACCTCTCTTCTTACCAGAGTCACTTCGCTTCAGAATCCCTCGACGATAGCAGATTGCCTTGTACATCAAAACATGGTGGAAGGCATCTAGATTGTGGAAGCCCTGGGGTAGCCTTTGAAATGGATGCTTTAAGAGAACCGGAATTGTCAAGTTTGGGCGTTTCACATGACAATGATATCTTGCGAACAAAATATGATTTTAAATGTATTGCTGGTTGGCCTATCAGAGAAAGAATGAGAAATTCTTCTGACTGTCATCATACTTCAGAAAGGCATGATTTTAAAATTATGGTGTCAAGTGAACTGAATTGGAATAAACTTGATAGAACTCATGATCTGACAGATAGAGATGAGAGATGTAATGAATATGCAGATGATCTGTCATTCTCAAAGACATTGGAATTTGAAAATGGCAGGTGCAGTAGGGCAGGTAAAAGAACTTTTGGTGCAGAATCTGGTAGAATTTCTGCACCTGAGGATTGGTCGACGCCTTATGAGTCTGCAAAACATGTTGAAGAGTATTCAATTAAATCTGGTAGGAAAAAACCAAAAGTTCATGTAGGACCTGGTTTGCTTAATTTGTACAGTTCACAACGCTCTGATAAGAAACATTATCTTTTGAAAAATGTTTGGGTAAGAGGCAGAGATGATGTAAAAGTAGACATGCACGCAACTGATGTCGAAGGAACAGAAAATTTGTCGGGTTCTGCCAAGTCTGAGCCACCTGAGAATTCAGAGGAATTTAAGCAAATAGTACATTGGTTCTTCTTATCTTTCACTAAAAAAATCAATATGAGTCCAAGTGCTCATAAACGGTACAAGGAGCAAGGCAAAGCTGGTAGCTTGTTCTGCATTGTTTGCAGCAGAAGGTTCGTCTGCTTTTTCAAAGTATTATTGTTCCTCTTTCAGGTGGACTTCTTATTATTTTATGTTGTTATGGAGTCTTCAACTATAATTTTTCCCATGGTCATTCATGTGAATCTTGTGCAATTTGAGTTTTCGTCGTGGCTTCCTTTAACTGCTACATTTGTTTTGCGCTGGAAAAGTTTGAGAATGAGTTCTGCTTAGACTGAGAGAGCGTGCTGAATTAGTTCATCAGGATAATACAAGTCAAATAGACAGTTTAATTTGAATTTTTTGTTCAAATCAGCAGTATCCTAAAATTAATAGTGGTCTTTGTTCAAAATTTTGAGGGTATTACACAGTAGAGATAGAGTTTAAAGTAAGTAATGGCAATTTTCTGCTTTAGATACAAGAGTAATTTTTAGTTTTTATTTTTTATAATTTCTGTTTTTCAGCCTTTTTTTATTTTAGGATGCAGAAGGCAATGAGTCCCCACATTTTTTCAAGTTTTGTAGGGTGAACTGGATTACAAACCAAACCTTGAATTTTTTTAGTGATTTTAGGTTGTGTAAGAGTTAATTTTTGCTCTCGTTGACTTCATTTGCCCTTTTGTAGATGCAGTACTTGATCAAATGTATTGGGAACGAAGTTATCATGTAGTCAACCTTGTGTTTGTTGAAAATAAGACTCGGCTTCTTCTTGTATAGAAATCAAGTCAAACAGAAAAGAGAGTGGATATATGACAATTCAAATGCCATACCTGTCAGATGAATGGCTCTAATTTGATGATTTTGTGAATGATGTATATTTGCAAACAGGAGAACTGTTGTTGGATCAGAAATCTGTTGCTTGCTAGTTTTTTGCTTTTGGTTCTTTCTTTTACAAGTTTGTGTTTAAAGAACTTGAACTTGGTGAAATTTTGAAGAAAATTATTTGTTTTGAACAACTTGCCCTTGATGCTAATGGTTCACACGGACCGTTCAGGAAGATCTTGTATGTACCTTCTGTCATGGTGCTTAGATAGAAAGCTCCATCCTCGATGATGATTTGAGGAAACCAGATTTTACAATTGAGAATTGAGTCAAAATGAGTTGATACAATTATTTATTTTCCCGATTTGCTTATGATGTGTGTGTGTGTGTGTGTATATATACTTGGAGACAAGATACAACACTGGTATTAATTGTTTACTGGGTACGCCTTTTATTTGCCCTTATTACTTGAGATTTGACTCATACTTACCAAGATTTTTGGAAAACTATCGACTTTTTTAGGTCAAGATAATTTTTTATATGCTAATTGTACAATCGTCTATTTAGAATACTGGATCTCTGCTTAGAATGAGGGTAATGTCATTTAATTACAAATACTTCATCAAATTAAGGGGTTGTATAACACAGCTTTTGATAAAAGTTTTAGCAGATTTTTATAAAAGTTTAGAAATTGTGTTGTTGAAAAGTTGTTAAAAGTTATGAATCTCAGGAAATGGGTTTAAAATTGAAGTTTGACCAATTGAAAAGTTCACAAAATATTAAATTTTATCAAACTAGCACTAAACTTGTTATGTTGAGTTTCTCCTATGATTCCGAACTACTTTCTCCTCCCCTTAAACTGCCCCTCCACTGGTTTTCTCTTCCACTTTACATTTTGTTTTTCAATGTGTACCATTTGGTTATATGGTGGTATACATGTCTTTAGTTGTAAGCTCTGATACGTCATAATTCTATCAGTCAATCAAAAGAGTTCACAGACACACAAAGCTTGTTGGCACATTGCTCCATGTCACACAAGTTCGGTTTGAGAGCACAACATTTGGGTCTTCACAGAGCAATATGTGTTCTAATGGGATGGGACAGTAAGACTGCCTCAAGTGTTCCTACAGTGGTTTCCAATTCTGAAGCTTTGGCTCAAAAAGATGACCTTATACTCTGGCCTCCAGTTGTCATTGTACATAACACTTGTAAGTTTCGCCGAAGTTCCGCAGGAAAAGAAGTGATAAATCTGGAAGCCTTCGAGGACTTCCTTAGAGGTCAGTACATGTTTTATTTCGCTTGCTCACGCGCACATACATATATATCCACTACAAAATTTTGGTTTGCCCCTTCTACACCAAAATTCACTTGTGTCTAGGTGTGGGTTTGGCATTGACCCCTGCCTCGTCTATTGATGCAAGGAGGGGGTATACCAACCCTTGCCTCGGAGGAGGTACAATAGGAGGAAGAGAACTTGTAGATCTAAATTAGGGAGTACTGCTCCCATTACATAGGATCTTTACTGAAAGCAATATGAAAATGGATTCACAATATCTAATATGAATTGGTTCATGACTGCGCTTATGTTTCTTATATCTGAGGTTGACAATACCATCTCTTTTGCTCGGCTGCTTTCTCGTATGTGATTACAGGTAAAGGCTTTAGTGGTGGACAAATGAAGGTATGCCTCGGGAATCCTGGAAACACTATTATAATGGTTGTGAAATTCTTGGGCACGGTAACTGGTTTACAAGATGCAGAGAAACTAAAGAAATACTTCGAAGAAAACAAGCGTGGTAGAGCAGATTTTGAGAAACTTGCTTCTGTTAAAGGCAAAAGCCGCAATGGTCATGAAGCCGGAACAAAGGCAGGCAAGCTTGACGAGCTTTTTCTGTATGGCTACATGGGAATAGCAGAGGATCTGGATAAAGTTGATTTTGACACAAAGAGGAGGTGTTCGGTTAGGAGCTACAAGGAGATTCAGGATATTGCTAATGATCCTGTCAAATTTGATCAGAGCTAGGCTACAGCTGAAATATTTGGCCGCTACTTCTATTCGGCCTGTTGCAAATATAAAAACAGATTGAGAAATTGATTCAGCTTTTCCATTTACGTTTTGGTCAAGTGAATTGAGATTCAGAGTCTGCGGGGGTTCTATTTTGTAGGATAATATTAAATGGGTGTGCTGTTTCCTATGCTAAACTTTGTCAGTTGACAATATTAAGTTATCAGTTTGGGCATTATAGCATGAACGTTATCAAAATTATTGCTTATGTTTTCTGGGAGCTTGTGCATGTTATGCTGCCTTCTTGAAAGTCTTTCCCATTCTCATCTTGGAAATAGAGATCTGTTCTCGAGGCAAAATGAAGGCATATGTATTGAACAGAAATAAGTACAACTCGAAGGAAGAAAGTTGTGTATTTTTTTTGTTGTCTTTGTTGAGTTTCGCACCATGATTGCAAAATATTAAAAAACAAATACCGAGAGATCATCCAGAAAAGGCAGGGGTTAGAGAGATAAGTTCTCAAACTCTAAGGAGAGATACTCTAGAGTTACCCTTTGCATTGTGAGCTTATAGATTCTTGTTCGATTTCCCCTAAACTACTTGGTATTTTGAATTGAGCAAAGCAGATTTTACAAAATCTGACCAGTTTTGAAAGGTTAGTTTGAAGATTTCAAGTTGCTTGGAGTCACGTTTTGGCCAAAAGGTTTTAAGAAGGGTAATTAACACATAACGTTCTCTCTTTTCATTATTATTGTAGAAAACGTCCATACCTTTCATTTTTTTAGTATTTTCACCTTTATTTCCACATTTCATTGCGAAAAGGTCTTTCTCACCTATTTTTTCAATTAAAAATTATGAAATGACGAATATAGCTCTCTCTTTAAATAAAACAAAAAGAAAAAAATTTAATTGCAA